TAATGAGTTGGAATGCTGAAAATAATCAACATTAGATAATTATAGAGGTCGCTTACGCAATTCGGTATTTCACCACGCGAAATACACAATTGCAAGATAATATCTAGGCAAGTAATGTCAAGAGAAATATTGAGGAACAGTCTCTTTCATTCATATTTTCCCAATCCTCACTAGAAATAACATCAGTACTGCTGACAATTTAATAATTCTATCCCACAGAGGCGAAAATTATGATAAGGGGAAAAAATCCCATGACAGCCGAGCGTGTTATTACAGAATTAATTTGATAGAGCCCATGTGTATTGATTAACCAATTCAACTTGGTATCGATCAAAGACAGATTAAAAATAACTTATTCATACATCTGACAAATACTTCAATATCCTCCCCATTCATTAATAATATATCACACCACAGACAGACAACTTTGGTTAAAAACATTTCGATATTCCTAATGATCAGCAGGCCCAGATAAAATTGTACCAAATTCCAATAACTTACAATATCGTAGTAAAAAACTAACTGTTACGTTTACCTTTAGAATATCCAGGATTTCCGAGAGAAAATAATGTCTATGTTTAAAACATTTACCAGTTTTGGAAATACTCTTCCAATCTTCATTGAGTAATTAAACATCAAGTAATGATCATGACCACGATATATCACTTAAATAAAATATACATATAATCCATATACTGTTTATTATTTCAATAAGATTCTTTAAACGAAAAGGAAGATGAGTTCAGGAATAATTTCTACATTTTTAGAACAAAATGTAAAAACTATGATTGCATCTTCATAGCAACAGTACAGAATCTAAAATGCTGGTTTATTTTGGAAAAGAGACTGTAAATTGATCAAACCAAACACAACAGAGATCTACCATATTTATCCTGCGGTAAGCCCATGCCTGATAATTAGCCCACAGGTCAATTTTTATGGAGCCTCAAATTCATTATCTTGTATGATCCATACCCCTGCAATAACCCCATCTCCAGCTTATCCGATGCTTATCACATTTTAGTATTTGTACAGTACATTTCCCTTGAGAAGATAGAGTAGTTGTTGTTTATTTTATATACAAGTGTACATAATGGAATCTAGCTGAAGGTACCTATATGTATGCATACAAGATTTTGGATATAGGGTTCAGTCGTGACAGGTACTGTATACATTAGGCTAATGTCAATGTCAACGTTACAAATAAATGACATGTAAAAGTGAAGGTTTTATGATAATGAATTACAAAATTCTAAAGTCTGTGTCACAAAATAAATCCACTCACAAAATAAAATCCTGAATTAATATGAAGTATTCCTATATGGTCGATTGCAAAAAGGACAATAAGTTGTGGCATCATCGCTATAATTAGAATAAATTATGGAACGAATTATGAAGTTTTTGTGCATCGATCCAGTATTTGTGTACATGTTTTTTATGACGCCATCTGTTGTCTGTCCAACATTCCCGATAGTAAGCTTGAAAGCAACACTGCTATAACATCTAAAATATTCATGATTACACGGTAACAGGTACCTACTACAAAGCATTCCCATCCTAAAAACAACTATGTTACATCCTAATAACAGTGTTCATGTCCTAAGAACAATTATGTGTTCACATCATAATCATAACCCAATTTTCACATCATCATAATAACCTTGTGTTCACATACAATAATAACCATGTGTTCCCATAATAATAGCCCTGTGTTCACATAATAATAACCCTGTGTTCACATAATAATAATATAACCCTGTGTTCACATAATAATAACCCTGTGTTCACATATTAATAACCCTGTGTTCACATAATAATAACCGAGTGTTCACATAATAATAACCATGTTCACATAATAATAACCCTGTGTTCACATAATAATAACCCTGTGTTCACATAATAATAACAACCCTGTGTTCACACAATAATAACCCTGTCTTCACATAATAATAATATAACCCAGTGTTCACATAATAAGAACCCAGTGTTCACATAATAATAACCCTGTGTTCACATGATAATTATATAACCCTGTGTTCACATAATAATAACCCAGTGTTCACATAATAATTACCCTGTGTTCACATATTAATTAGCCCTGAGTTCCATTTCAGAAGCTTTATATGAAGCAAGTCGTGAACTTTCATTTTACCTCCACAGAGCCTCGCCAAAATAAAAACAACAAAGACTCATTTCATTTTGATTTAGAAATACCCTAAAGAATGGTGGATGTACCTCCGTGTACATTGCATCTCTTGTTCTAGGGACAAGAGCTTTATTATATATTGTAGTTTTGATTCCATAAATCGCATGAACAGCATATTTCTGTTGACTACGGTATACATAGAGTATCATAGGCCTAGCTAACACCTACTAAACCACACTATGCCACCTATCTGCCTGAATGCAGTAGAATATGTAGAGGAAATCAATGCATTGCTTTACCCAGACAGTCTTACTCAATCCCCAGTGGCTAGCCCCCCTTCACCAGTATCCCTATCCAGCACCATTACATACCATTCCCATTGTACCATTATATGGTACAGACAGACCAGGCATATCCTGGCATCTCTGATGAGGAATATACTACCACCTCTGTACATAATTATAATGTACATATAGTACAATAGGAAGAGTTGATAGACTGGTATGTAGTAGCACACATTCTAGATTAGTACACCCTGGCCCCCGACTCTCTATCCTATATATCCCTGTCTGAATCAATTTTGTATCAGATTTAACAATAATTTATATTATTTTACATTTATTTTGGGAAGTTGTTTCATATGTAAAGTATGCAAAATGTCTACTTTTTAATTACTTTTTTCCTATTTGAAATGAAGGTTTCTCTTATCTTTTCTTGTTTTGGCAAGACAGTCAATCGCAAATTAACCATAATTTTATTTTATCATGGATGAACATAATGATCATCACAGTCATAACGGAATCACTGCTGACAAACAGCTATTTCCAGGAAATGAATGTGACTGTGATTGCACAAACTAGTCTGTAAACTGTTACAGTGATTCTGTTTCCCTACCTATTAACAATGTCTTAATAATTCTAGCAAAAATCTCTAAATAGCAATACCGAATTTCCTGTAGAGATATGTCGGATAGGAAGCTGGAACTGAATATATCTTACACAGGCTGTCCAGCAAAATCTCTGTGCATTCCTGATTACACTGTAGTTAAGTCAAGATTTGAGGGGGAAGATGTCATTATTAGATGACAGGGCATTTTCATATTGCATGTCCCAAAAATAATGGTGTACATGTACTGTGTTTAATGTTATAAGGGTACCGAGTAAGGATAAAGGACAAGTTCAGCACCATTATTTAAATGTTTTTCCTCATATAAATATTTTAGCTATTTTCCTACAGTGGCAGAGACATACTGTTTATCCCAGTCCTAAGCTATAATCTCTATTAATTAAACAGCATATCATTCTGAAATAATGCATCCGTCACTGTCTTAGCACATAATATTACAGGTCATTTTTTTCATTCAGCACACTAGTAGCAGACATAGTTTAGTAACGGAAGTTGGTTTTGTTAGCTAGACAACTTCCATTACTAAAATCTGCCTGTGAATTGTAATATTTAAGCATTAAAGTTATAGTGTTATAATCCCTTAAGGCATCCTTATGGTGCAGGTGCCTTGGTCATTTAACACTTACATGCATGTAATGCTGAATGGATATATTGGTAAGCTATGTATGGTGTGCTTCATTTTCTGAAAGTTGTTTACTTTTAACAGCCTCCAACATTCAATAGCAATGTGAATGACGTATTCAGAATTATATTTAAATCAAATAGTATATATAATAATAATATTAAAGAGGAACACAAAAACAGATATTGTTATATATTGTTAGATACAGGCTTTATCTTCTATGACTTCCATTCTGAGTCACGTTAGGCACATGTTTAATAATACGTTAGTATCTAATCACTTTTGATTCATTGGAATGTGAGAAGAGGATGCAACCATACTATTTATATCCGCGACAGCATACTGTGAATGTGTATCACTGTACCGTAATTGATATAACATAATAGATTATCCACACCATATGATTATATGCAAATCAAAGCTAGATAGTTAACAGAAACAATTGTTTTGATAGTGAAACATGCCAATATATGTGTTTCACTAAAAGGATACAATTTTGGCTAGCTAGTAGAACCAATGAATGAATAATCTTGGCATTATGTCAAAACCATTGTTTACTTTTAACTCATCCACTTGAAGCTAAATATTTCATTATTTTGCAAAGATTGATTCATTAAAAATGGACAGTTATAGGGAACAACCAATAAATTAGTTATAGCGAATCCCACTTGTAGGCAGGTGCCCCCTAATGTTTTATTAATGCCTGTGTGTACAATACACAACGTTGTGTATTGCATTTGGCTCACATTAACAATAAATGGATGTCCATATAAATAACTGTAATTTGAAGTACGTCTACATAATTTCAAACTCGACATACTGAAATAAAGTAGCATAGACATACAGCCTCTGAATCCGGTGAGAATTCATTTTGACTACTGTTGAAGTCATGCGCAGGCAACACCTTCATCTTTTGAACCAGAAGAACTGTCAAACTATAAAACGTCTATTGATTTCATTTAAAATAGCAATCAATGAAAAATACATATAGCAAGCAGTGCCTACCTTTCAGCCATATCGTTCTTTCTGGAAATGGGGGCTCAGTACCCTTAATAAGGTAAATTATGCGGAAGTTTACATGTCTCTAATACAGGAGCAATTTACAGGCTGCTCATCCGCCATCTTGTTTTCTCGAGGCGTTGTCACGACAAGCAGCGAAAGATTAACCCCGGTATCAATCAATTATTTTGGTCACATGTACGCAAAACACACTCCAGTTTGTGTCCACCGGGAGATGCTCTTCTTTTAATGTTACCAGAATTAATTAATCACTGCATCTTCACTCCAAAGCTGTTACGCATGCGTACAATAAACATCCGGCTATTCCTCTTGAACTTCCGCAATATGGAGTAAACAAAGCAGAAATATGACAGCAGCATTATCTGGGATAAAATAACATCTAATCTTGGTTCTAAACGACAAAAACAATAGAATATTTGGGTAATTTATTTAACTATATACACATTTTTATGTAAAGTTTGTTATATTTGTTTGTGTGAACGTTTACTGAATGATTCATATTAACCGGCAGCCCCCCCCCCCCCCCCCCCCCCCCCCCCCNAAAAAGATGTGAGAACCAGGAACGATGCTGATTCACATGAATATGAACGGATATACACCAATTTGTAGTGTCTAAGTTAAACATTGATACTGTATGAATATATTTAACTTAAGTATTTCGAAGCTGATCACTTGCAGCAATTAATGCAGTACATATATAGAAATGTTTTATTTCAGTAGTGTCACCCTGGTAAATAGTCCGAATTACTCTGATGTTTTATCAACTTGTTTTTTATATCGGTTTGGCGTCGATTAACTTCAGAACTCCGGCCCTCTATAACATGCGGGAAATAAGCGACCCACGCCAGGGTCACTCTTCAAACTGATAAAGAATAGATCTTTCGATCCATGTGTGACGTGTGTGAAAGAGACGATTTGTTTCTAAAATATCAGTTGGAAGAGCGACCCTAGCGCGGGCCGCTTATTTCCTGCATGTTAGATAGGGCCAGAGTTCTGACGTTAATCCACGCCAGACCGATACAAAAAACGTCAGAATAATTCAGACTACCTGGTTAAATACTAGATGCTTCCTACAGACTTGGCCAGGGAGATTTCTCTTTAGTTCATTGGGTAGAGTATTATAGACTAGTTAGCTAGAGGGCACGGGTTCGACTCCTAGCAGAGGCACTGAGAAAATATTGACTGCTGTTACATTGGCGCCCATATATGCATGTAGGGACCTGGGTAATATCAACAAATTAATATACTCAGCGATACTTTCACAAGAATCACTATGACCCCTGGGAAACTCAGGACTAATTATTTCCTGGAGGGAGAGTATGTCAGCCTGGTAAAATACTAGCCGCTTTCTACCAACTCGGCTAGGGAGAATTTCTCTTTAGCTCATTTGGTAGAGCATAAGACTAGTAAGCCAGAGTCATTGAGAAAATAAAAACCACTGTTACATTAGTCACGCACCAATGGAAAATGTTAGCAAAGTGTACATTTTATCTTTTGTGACTAATCAGAACCTTGTCATAATTAAGCAATACTTTGGAAATGATATTAGTCATTTTATTCTTCATTTTGAACTACAGTTTAACTATAAATATGTGCCAGTTCACTATTTTCAGAATTCTAGCAGTATGTTCTTTTAGCACTTTCACTTTGCACTTATGCAAGAAAAAATATCCACTTTGAGCCTATTTTCTTGAGTTTATTATCAATGAAAAATATCCATTTATGTTAAGAATGGAATGTTGCATTGTTTGCAGAAATCGCCATGAACTTCGGAGGTCGTGCTAGTGCGGAAAAAAATGATGACGTGGGAAAGGATGAATGGATGGACCGGCTACACAATGTTCACATCACCCGTGCAGACATGAACAATCTGATCATGAACTACCTGGTCACAGGTATAATAAAACTATTCCTGGTCATGTTCACATGTGTTACCTGGGATACAATGGCGTATCCCGGTTGAAACAGTTCAGGTGGCACAGAAATATTCCACGATAAACAAATGCACTTGGACCGAACTATATAGGTCGAGCTAAAAAATGCAGTTTCGGAGAATAAATAACAATATATCAAGAATGAAATCACTGAAAATGTATGTGTTTATTTATTGCTATAAATTCTACTCTAAGATTAAGATAGAGGAAAACTTTTTGCACAGTGTAGGTTTAATTTTTTCCAAATTTATGATATTTTCCCAAACCTGCATGTACATGTGGGAACACTGATGAAATTTTCCAGTTTTTGCTAAATGCTGATGACATAATCCCTATTCCTGCTCACAAGGGCCCTTTACCAAAATCTTGGCCTGTCGTTTTCTTTCAGGTTTAACCATTTTAACTGGTTGAACTGGATACGCGAAAGAGGCCCTGCCTGTAAATTATAAAGTTTGGCGTCCTTGGTGGTCAAAGGGAGATAATTTAATATATAGTATTTGTCAAAGCGGCAAACACTGGACTTTTTTCTTGTCCAGCAAGCTGTTATAGCATTAGATTATATAGTCTCTGGCTGTTTTAGCAGTAAGGAATAATGCTCCTATTATTTATTGCCTAGCTTCTATCCAAGTCTGTCTCCTACAGATTACAGTAGAGAGTTTCTCTCAAAGTTTTTCTCATTTATCTTGCCAAGTTTCTATCCCAGTCTTGTTTATTTCACTGTAAAATTTTAACTACTTTAGCTGCTGGAATTTATAGAGTGTGCTGTTGAGATTTATAAAGCACAGGCTTGTTAAACTAACAGCCCAAAATATCTAGGCATCAATTTGAAAATTAAACATAATACTGTCTAGTTTTACTGCATCCACGATACTCCAGGGGTAACACTCACCTGCATTCTCTGCACCCCTGGAATATGTCATATTAAAGTTGAAGGCACAGGGCTAGCTTTATGATTGGGCTTAGGTGGAATGAAACTGACCAATTGCTAGCTAGGCTGATACCTGTCCTGTTAGGCAACTGAGAGATTCTTTTGATGTACGTCAAAGGATCGAACTAGTCTTCTTGTCTCGCACGCAAGGTGAAACACACTAAGCCTTCAATTTTGTAATGATATATTCCAAGGGTGCAGAGAGCAAAAGTGAGTGTAACCCCTGGAATATCGAGGAAGGGTTTACCGAGGAAAAACACTGTAGTTGATGTTTTTTTCTTTAAATCCTTTTTTATTTACTTTTTAGGTCACCTGAGCTTTAGCTCAAGTGACCTATTGCTATCCGTTTTCGTCCGTCGTCGTCCGTCATCCGTTAACATTTTACATTTCAAACTTAAAGTCAAGTTCTGCTGGGCCGATTGAACTGAAAGTTGGTAGGAATGATCACCTCATGGTCCTGACAAAGTGTTGTTATTTTTCGGGTCGATCAGAAATCCAATATGGCCGCCACGGCCGCCATTTTGAAAAACTATTTCAAACTTAAAGTCAAGTTCTGCTAGGCCGATTGAACTGAAACTTTGTAGGAATGATCAGCTCATGGTCCTGACAAAGTGTTGTTATTTTTCGGGTCAATCAGAAATACAATTTGGCTGCCATGGCCGCTATTTTGCTACTAAATTCTAATAGGCCGATCTCACTTAAAATTGGTCTAGGAATGATCAGCTCATGGTCCTGACAAAGTTAAGTTAACATTATACTATTTTTTACTCAAATTGGTACATATTTCAACAAAAAAAATAAATATTGTAGACTCAGGTGACCGTTAAGGCGCATGGGCCTCTTGTTTATATTCCTATGTAATCTTTGATTTATAGAGGGATTTAAGGAAGCTGCAGAGAAGTTCCGAGTGGAGTCTGGAGTACAGCCATCCATTGATCTGGATCAGCTGGACGAAAGAATAAAAATCAGAGAGGCCATTCAGGAAGGAAAAATCCAAGATGCCATATCTCTCGTGAACAATATTCATCCTGAATTATTAGACAATGACAGATACTTGTATTTTCATTTACAGGTGAGTTATTATCAAGATATTTATCAACTATTACAGGTTAAGGATTATTCAGTAATTTCACTAACTTTCAATAACAATAAATGCAAGTACCGGTTATGCTCAGCTGAAGAAAAATCAATTTACATTTGCTTCGTTGTTCTAGCAGATTGAGAACAGTTTTTATCATTAACAAATTTTGACGGCATTTTCACTTATAGCTCATTTTAAAAAATCCTTTTGTTTACTTTGAGTAGTAGACTGGCACCCATCTCTAGAATGTTGAATTATTTAGATTTTTATTTTTTATTTTGATCACTTTGATGTCTGATTCCTAAGTTCTCAAACAATGGAGAGATAAGCTAGTAGTAAAATGCAGTTGGGAAATTCTTCATTCATGTAGTTAAGTTTCTTGGTTGTAGCCATGGGCAGGTGATTGCTGTGACAGGCATTGACTGTCATTCTTAGTGTATGATTTTTCAAATTTGTCTTTTCTTGGAGATATTGCAATCAAAAATTTAGGTTTACACAACAAACTTAAATTTATTTTGTTTTCATAAGCAACAACAACTGATTGAGCTGATTCGAGACAAAAACATTGAAGCTGCTTTAGAATATGCCCAAACCCATCTGGCAGAGAGGGGAGAAGAAAACCCAGAGATCTTATCGGAACTGGAAAGAACACTTGCACTTCTTGCATTCGAAAATCCAGAAAATTCACCATTCGGAGAACTCCTTCATCCTTCACAGAGACAGAAGGTTTGTTGTTCATATTTAAATCTGCTGATAATGATCAAGGTATCCTAGATAAGAGCAGAAATATGTAGAATCGTGTTGAGTGGCCCATTCAATCTTCAAAGAATCTACTAATCACTACACTTTCTAATTGCAGGAAAATTTTCATCTTTAGGCTTTAACTCATTCACCCCCGAAATTTCACAATGAACTACTCCAACCTTTGAATTGGAAGAGTTCAAATGTGTCTTCAGGAGCGAATGAGTTAAGATTGAATACAACATATATTTATAATTATATGATGTATATTTATGTGAAAAAAAATTAGTCATATGGTAATCAGAAATGCTTCTATTTTCAAACGGGTAAAAGTGTTGTGAAAATGAGCTTGTAAAGTGGCCGAGTTGACTTGTCTGTATGTCGGTGAGCAGGTCGACTCGTCCGAAGGTGATGAGCTGTCGTGCTTGACAATATCGAATGTAGTGAGTCTACAATTGGTCCAGCCCAAGCTGCTATATGGACGTATTTTGTGTACTGTTGGTCTGATCGTGATTACACTTGCCGTTGCAGGCTATCATTCTGATTAACACTCATATAACTTGTAGCTTCTTACTACAAATTGGTAGTTGTTACCAGTTGATAAGTAGATAAAACATCAATTTATATTGGTTTTACAGGTAGCGAGTGAATTGAATGCTGCCATTTTAGAAGTGGACGCTACACCTAAGTTAGCTAATTTACTCAAACTGTTGCTATGGTCACAAGAGGAACTGGACAAGAAAAAAGTGAAATATCCAAAAATGACAGACTTTTCAAAAGGAACAATTGACGAACCAAAAGGACAGAAAACAGAGTGAATCTCGATTAGATCTCCATACTCTTCTGTATGTGAATACACACAATTTCTGAAACAAGATGTCAGTATTTGGCACAATGAAAGTACATGTATTTCCAATTCTGACAGTTACATGAGAAATGAAATCAAACATCTTATGAAGATGCCATCAAGCACATGAAAAAAGGAAGTATCTCTGAAATGGTTCAATTTCACAAATTCTGATTCATATGCATATGCTCATTCACAAAACTCCATAAGTTGTGCTCTCCTTCTTAAAAAGAAGATATTTTATATCAAGAGCATAGCCCTTGAATTTTGAAGATGTCTTCAGATTATTGAGGTGCAAACACAAATATAACTGTTTCGTAAATTTATTATTTCGGAAAAGTTTGGAGCCTACGTAATAGGTTACCTAGCTTTACAAAATTGCTTCCCACTGGATGAAATGCCACTCGGTGTCCTTGACATTTAGCATTTTCACGAGTCAAATCACCTTTTTCCTGAAATCTGAAAGGCAAAAAACAGATGTCAAATAGACTTTTCCTTAATTTAAACCCAAGAGTAAAAGGTCATGTTTGGGAGACAAAAACATACTCACAAAGGCCTGCTGAGAGTCTTGTCACTATCTGGCTATAAGATGGCACTACTTACTAGCTAAGATACTGCTTCCCACTGACTGTCCAGTCTACACATACATTCTGATGGTGCGTACATGAACATGTTGAGGGCTTCAGTTTCACAAATAATTTTGAAGTTAAGGAATCCCGCACCACTGCCAAAAACTGTAACTTAGTCATGGAAACTTGGTTTCCTTCAGACATGAGTATAGCCTTGATAAATTATTTCTGAAAAGAAAATCAAACCTTGCAGGACTTTGATGAGAAATATTAAAGCTGAAGTAAACAAAATAGATCAACAACAGTGTTTTGAGTGGAAAAAAAATGTAGCGGGGATATATCGGAATTTGAACACTGGACTTCAGATTGTTATACAATCGCTCTACCTGTCAAAGGAAGGGTCCTTGCCCATCTGAGTTACAATTACATCCAAATGGATGTTAAAGGGAGGTTACTCTATATACAAAAAATAACAGGGACAGAGATCCTTAAGGAAATTTCTTGACTTGAAAATATATATTGAAGGAGTATTCCTTAACTTAATAAATGCTTATTTGTAGAAAATTAAGAGAGAGAAAAAATGAAATTAAGAAAAGTTTGTAAACTTGGGTTCAGGTTCATTGTTTATAAAACATATTTCAAACATGTATGATATTGTTTTCATAATTGTGCTTTAAATGACTTGCCTTTCTATTAGTTTGACCATCATTTAGACCCATGTATGGCATGGCACATAATTAGATAGACCATTTTAACATGTGTTCCAAATATAGACAGTGTTTGAAAGATGAGACTTCAGTCTATAAATAGATAAATAGACTTAAGATCCTGATTTATACAAGTTAGAGTAACCCATATATGACAAGTGAGAAAAATTATGTCTTTTTCTTCATATTTAGAGTTTAAGCGTCACTAAAACCACGTCAGAAACTGCATTCAAAATGCTTTAATCAATATTTTATGTTTGATGGGGTTATCAATATATTAGGACTAGATCATATATTTGATTTTAACTCATTCTTCCCCTAAATTTCATAATTAACTATTCCAACCTTTGAATCGAAAGATTCACATTTGTTTTCAGGGGTGAATGAGTTAATAAATGATCCAGGTTGATCAAAACTTCATAAGGTAACTTACAGTCTGCATAATGTAGATGTCTAGAGGTCAACTTGTACACATTGATGAATATTCTATTTTAAATTCCTGGTAAGCTGTGGAAGAAATATTTCAGTTTGTTGTTCAATTCAGATCTATATCTCATGATGAATGGTTGCAATATGTTTCCTCTTTGTTTTATATAAAAGTGTGTTAATTTGCGTTCTTATGCTGAAATAAACATGTATGTAGCTTTTAGTGTAAATATATATCAGAAGCCCCCGTGGCCGAATGGTTTAGGCATCTGTGGTTTAGGCATCTGACCATCTACAATCACTAGCCCTCTACCACAGGGTCGCGGGTTAGATGTCTGACCATCTACGATCACTAGCCCTCCACCACAGGGTCGCGGGTTAGATGTCTGACCATCTACGATCACTAGCCCTCCACCACAGGGTCGCGGGTTAGATGTCTGACCATCTACGATCACTAGCCCTCCACCACAGGGTCGCGGGTTAGATGTCTGACCATCTACGATCACTAGCCCTCCACCACAGGGTCGCGGGTTAGATGTCTGACCATCTACGATCACTAGCCCTCCACCACAGGGTCGCGGGTTAGATGCCAACAGTACATGGGGTAGTAGCCAGGTACCTGTCACAAGTCGGCGGTTTTTCTCCAGGTACTCCGGCTTTCCTCCAATAACCAAAACCTGGCACGTCCTTAAATGACCATGGCTGTTTATACTGTTCATAGGGTGTAAAACAAAAACAAACAAAAACTCTGAGAAATGTTGCAAATTTTCAGGTACCTATGCAGGGTCTGATGGTCCGGTTATCTCCTTAGGCTTCTGCATTATCATTGTTCTTGGCTACAGTAGAATCCTTGCTATAAGAACAGAGAATATGTTTCATAGTTAATAGAGACAACTTTATTATGCTAGTCAACCCTGAAATTTATATTATTGTTAAAACACTGATTTTTGTGGGTTTTTTAATTTCATTGATCTTGTGAGTAATTTTCATCCACAAATTCATAGGTCCATGAAGTAATTACAAGTTTGACTTGAAGCAATTCTCCGTGTTAGTGGGTACTTGTAATCCACGAAATGGTAGTTTTTCAGAAAACCATGAAATTTGGACCCCTCAAAACTTTCTGATGTCAGAGTAATTGAATGTTTTAAAAATGTGAAACAATGAACGAAAACATCCTGTGAATGTTTTATCTAACACATTAACTACTTTTCTGTACAGGCCCCTGTGATCTGTTAATCTACACAGGCGCCTGTATATCTACTGTTCTGTGGGGCCTGAGTCCTATGTTACACAAAGTTCACACAGTTGCCTGTGATTAATAGGACAATAAATACAAAATGTGTTAATTGGCCTATGAAACCCTGGCAGTTGTAGATAGACAAAATCCACCTCTTTGTCGGATTGTATTGTATCAACTTGTGCCTGACTTTGGTATAAAAAAAAGAAATGACACAGCTTACATATATTACAGGTGTATATTTGGAACTTTTTGGGCAAATACTTTTTTGTTTATTTCACACAAAAAAATCTTGCTTTTTTGAATTTTTAAGAAGACATTTATTGTGGAATACAGTTAAGCTCGATGTGCTTTAAACTCATCAAAATATTTGCATATTGTACCGGGTAAGAAAAAGTATTTGTCTAATTTGAATGCATTACTGTTATTTATGATTGTTTCAATAGCTATTGTATTGGGTTGCCTTGTAGAAATTATCGCATCATGGGTTAAAACTTGTATCAAACTTATCTCGTTATGCAGCGTATATTTGATTTGTAAATATTGTCATTTCATCTGAATTGAAATAAAATTGTCATGTTCATGTAAAGAAGCTAGCATTTTTTTATTCTTTTTTTTTTTATGCATAAATTAGCACAATTCAATATCGACAAATTGTGAAATTAAAATTCCAGCATTATTGACCATGTGGAAGTGTCCACACTTAAACAGCTTGAGAAGGCTGAAATGTGAGATTTTCTCATTTTACATCACCCAGTGAGTAGCTTGGATAGTAGTCCCAAGTCTTATGACCAGAAGGCTGTCTACTACGAGGAGATAACCTGACATTCCTAGACTGAATTTGAGCCTCCAACACACTGTTCCCTGTTTCCTAGGTAGCTGAAAACTTCTGAAAAAAATCTCTGTAACTACATGGAGATAATACAGTAACACCACACCTGTAGACCACCTCAAAATAACGGCCACCCTGCTAATGCTGGCACTTGTTTTCAGTCTCATTTTTTCTATATATATATATATCTTTGTATTGGTCAGGTCAGTAAAACAACCATCCCACTATTCAACATTACAACAACATTTTACATTCAAACTACAGTTGTAATATGACAGATGACCTCTGTAAGATGGTAAACAGTGTGACAGGTGACCTATGTATGGAGGTATACAGTATGACAGGTGACCTCTGTATGGAGGTATACAGTGTGACAGTTGACCTCTGTATGGTGGTATACAGTGTGACAGTTGACCTCTGTATGGAGGTATACAGTATGACAAGACAACTGACCTCTATAAGGAGGTAAACAGTGTGACAGTTGACCTCTGTATGGATGAATAGAGTATGACAGGTGACCTCTATATGGAGGTATACAGTGTGACAGGTGACCTCTGTATGGAGGTATGGTGTGACATATGACCTCTGTATGGAGATATGCAGTGTGACAGGTGACCTCTGTATGGAGGTATATAGTGTGACAGGTGACCTCTGTATGGAGGTATACAGTGACAGCTGACCTTTGAATGGAGGTAAGCAATGTGTCAGCTGACCTCTGTATGGAGGTATACAGAATGACAGTTGACCTCTGCATGGAGAGATATATAGTGTGACAGCTGACGTCTGTATGGATGTTTACAGTATGACAGGTGACCTTTGTATGGAGGTTAACAGTGCGGTGACCTCTGTATGGTGGCATACAGTATGACACGTGACCACTGTATGGAGGTATAGAGTATTACAGGTGACCTCTGTATGGAGATATACCGTGTGACAGGTGATCTCTGTATGGACATATGCAGTGTGACAGGTGATCTCTGTATGGAGATATATAGTGTGACAGATGATCTCTGTATGGACGTATGCAGTGTGACAGGTGACCTATGTATGGAAGAATATAGTCTGACTTGTGACCTCTGTCTTGAGGTATAGAGTGTGACATGTGACTTCTGTATGGAGGTATACAGAATGCCAGTTGACCTCTGCATGGAGAGATATATAGTGTGACAGCTGACGTCTGTATGGATGTTTACAGTATGACAGGTGACCTTTGTATGGAAGAATACAGTCTGACCTGGGACCTCTGTATTGAGGTATAGAGTGTGACATGTGACTTCTGTATGGAGGTATACAGTGTGACAGCTGACCTATGTATAGATATATAGTGTGACAGATGATCTCTGTATGGACGTATGCAGTGTGACAGGTGACATATGTATGGAAGAATACAGTCTGACTTGTGACCCCTGTATTGAGGTATAGAGTGTGACATGTGACCTCTGTATGGAGTTATACCGGGGCAGCTGACCATTGTATGGAGGTATACAGTGTGAAATCTGACCTCTGTATGGAGATATGTAGTGTGACAGATGATCTCTGTATGGAGATATACAGTATGACAGGTGACCTTTGTATGGAAGAATACAGTCTGACTTGTGACCTCTGTATTGAGGTATACAGTGTGACAGTTGACCTCTGTATGGATGTATAGAGTATGACAGGTGACTTCTGTATGGAGGTATACAGTGTGACAGGTGACCTCTGTATGGAGGTATGGTGTGACATGTGACGTCTGTATGGAGATATGCAGTGTGACAGGTGACCTCTGTATGGAGATATACAGTATGACAGGTGACCTCTGTATGGAGTTATACAGTGACAGCTGACCATTGTATGGAGGTATACAGTGTGACAGCTGACCTCTGTATGGAGGTATAGAGTATGACAGCTGACCTCTGTATGGAGGTATAGAGTATGACAGTTGACCTCTGTATGGAGGTATACAGTGACAGCTGACCTCTGTATGGAGGTAAGCAATGTGACAGCTGACTTCTGTATGGAGGTATACAGAATGACAGTTGACCTCTGTATGGAGAGATATATAGTGTGACAGCTGACCTCTGTATGGATGTTTACAGTATGACAGGTGAACTTTGGATGGAGGTTAACAGTCTGGTGACCTCCGTATGGATGTATAGAGTATGGCAGGTGACCACTGTATGGAGGTATACAGTATGACAGGTGACCACTGTATGGAGGTATACAGTGTGACAGTTGACCTCTGTATGGAGATATACAGTGTGACAGGTGATCTCTGTATATGCAGTGTGACAGGTGACCTATGTATGGAAGAATACAGTCTGACTTGTGACCTCTGTATTGAGGTATAGAGTGTGACATGTGACCTCTGTATGGAGGCATAGAGTATGACAGGTGACCTCTGTATGGAGGTATACAGGGACAGGTGACCTCTGTATGGAGGTATACAGTATGACAGGTGACCTTTGTATGGAGGCATAGAGTATGACAGGTGACCTCTGTATGGAGGTAAGCAATGTGTCAGCTGACCTCTGTATGGAGGTATACAGAATGACAGTTGACCTCTGCATGGAGAGATATATAGTGTGACAGCTGACGTCTGTATGGATGTTTACAGTATGACAGGTGACCTTTGTATGGAGGTTAACAGTGCGATGACCTCTGTATGGTGGCATACAGTATGACAGGTGACCACTGTATGGAGGTATAGAGTATGACAGGTGACCTCTGTATGGAGATATGCAGTGTGACAGGTGATCTCTGTATGGACGTATGCAGTGTGACAGGTGATCTCTGTATGGACGTATGCAGTGTGACAGGTGATCTCTGTATGGAGATATACAGTGTGACAGGTGATCTCTGTATGGACGTATGCAGTGTGACAGGTGCCCTATGTATGGAAGAATACAGTCTGACTTGTGACCTCTGTATTGAGGTATAGAGTGTGAGATGTGACTTCTGTATGGAGGTATACAGGGACAGGTGACCTCTGTATGGAGGTATACAGTGAGAAATCTGACCTCTGTATGGAGATATACAGTATGACAGGTGACCTCTGTATGGAGTTATACAGTGAGAGCTGACCTCTGTATGGAGGTATACAGTGTGACAGCTGACCTCTGCATGGAGGTATAGAGTATGACAGCTGACCTTTGTATGGAGGTATACAGTATGACAGGTGACCTCTGTATGGAGATATACAGAATGACAGGTGACCTCTGTATGGAGTTATACAGTGAGAGCTGACCTCTGTATGGAGGTATACAGTGTGACAGTTGACCTCTGTATGGAGGTGTACATTATGACAAGACAACTGACCTCTACAAGGAGGTAAATAGTGTGACAGTTGACCTCTGTATGGATGTATAGAGCATGACAGGTGACCTCTATATGGAGGTATACAGTGTGACAGGTGACGTCTGTATGGAGGTATGATGTGACATGTGACGTCTGTATGGAGATATGCAGTGTGACAGGTGATCTCTGTATGGCCGTATGCAGTGTGACAGGTGACCTATGTATGGAAGAATACAGTCTGACTTGTGACCTCTGTATTGAGGTATAGAGTGTGACATGTGACTTCTGTATGGAGGTATACAGGGACAGGTGACCTCTGTATGGAGGTATACAGTGTGACAGCTGACCTCTGTATGGAGGTATACAGTATGACAGGTGACCTCTGTATGGAGTTATACAGTGACAGCTGACCTCTGTATGGAGGTATACAGTGTGACAGCTGACCTCTGCATGGAGGTATAGAGTATGACAGCTGACCTTTGTATGGAGGTATAGAGTATGACAGTTGACCTCTGTATGGAGGTATACAGTGACAGCTGACCTCTGTATGGAGGTAAGCAATGTGACAGCTGACTTCTGTATGGAGGTATACAGAATGACAGCTGACGTTTGTATGGAAGTATACAGTATGATAGCTGACATTTGTATGGAGGTTTAGAGTGTGACAGGTGACCTTTGTATGGAGTTAAACAGTCTGGTGACCTCTGTATGGTGGCATACAGTATGACAGGTGACCACTGTATGGAGGTATACAGTATGACAGGTGACCTCTGTATGGAGATATACAGTGTGACAGGTGATCTCTGTATGGATGTATGCAGTGTGACAGGTGACCTTTCTATGGAGGTATACAGTGACAGCTGACCTCTGTATGGATGTTTACAATATGACAGGTGACCTCTGTATGGAGGTATACAGTATGACAGGTGACCTTTGTATGGAGTTTTATGGTTTGACAGCTGACCCCTGTTTGGAAGTATACAGTGACAGGTGACCTCTGGATGGAGGTATACAGTATGACAGCTGACGTTTGTATGGAAGTATACAGTGTGAAAAGTGACCTCTGTATGGAAGTATGCATTATCCCAGGTGACCTCTGTATAGAGATATACATTATTACAGCTGACCTCTGTATGTAGGTATATAGTATGACAGGTGACCTTTGTAAGGTGGTATACAGTGTGACAGGTGGCCTCTGTATGGAGGTATACAGAATGAAGGTGACCTCTGTATGGAGGTATATAGTATGACAGATGACCTCTGTATGGAGGTATACAGTATGACAGGTAACATCTGTATGGAGAGATATAGTATGACATTAAAGCTGACCTCCGTATGGATGTATAGAGTATGGCAGGTGACCTCTGTATGGAGGTATAGAGTTTGTCAGGTGACCTCTGTATGGAGGTTTACAATGTGACAGCTGACCTCTGTATGGAGGTATACAGTATGACAGGTGACCTCTGTATAGAGGTATACAGTGTGAAATCTGACCTCTGTATGGAAGTATACAGTTTGACAGCTGACTTCTGTATGGATGTATACAATGTGACAGCTGACCTCTGTATGGAGGTATACAATGTGACAGGTGACCTCTGTATGGAGGTATACAGTGACAGCTGACCTTTTTATGGATGTATACAGTATGACAGGTGACCTCTGTATAGAGGTATACACTGTGAAATCTGACCTCTGTATGGAAGTATACAGTTTGACAGCTGACCTCTGTATGGATGTATACAATGTGCAAGCTGACCTCTGTATGGAAAAATACAGTGACAGCTGACCTCTGTATGGATGTATACAGTATGACAGGTGACCTCTGTATGGAGGTATACAGTATGACATCTGACCTTTGTATGGAGGTATACAGTATGACAGGTGACCTCTGTATTGAGGTTTACATTATGACAGGTGACCTCTGTATGGATGTATATAATGTGCGAGCTGACCTCTGTATGGAAAAATACAGTGACAGCTGACCTCTGTATGGAGGTATACAGTATGACAGCTGACATTTGTATGGAGGTATAGAGTGTGACAGGTGACCTCTGTATGGAGGTTTACATTATGACAGGTGACCTCTGTTTGGAGATATACATTATTACAGCTGACCTCTGTATGGAGGTATACAGTGTGACAGCTGATCTTTGTATTGAGGTATACAGTGTGACAGCTGACCTCTGTATGGAGGTATGAATAATGACAGATGACCTCTATATGGAAGTATACAGTGTGACAGCTTATCTCTGTATGGAGGTATACAGTGTGACATCTGACCTCTGTATGGAGAAATACTGTTTGACATCTGACCTCTGTATGGAGGTATACAGTGACAGCTGACCTTTGTATGGCGGTATACAGTATGACAGCTGACCTTTGTGTTTGACATCTGACATCTGAATGGAGGTATACAGTGTGACATCTGACCTCTGTATGGAGAAATACTGTTTGACATCTGACCTCTGTGTGGTGGTATTCAGTATGACAGCTGACCTCTGTATGGAGGTATTCAGTATGACAGCTGACCTTTGTATGGAGGTATACATTATGACAGCTGACCTTTGTATGGAGGTATACAGTGTGACAGGTGACCTCAGTATGGAGGTATATAGTATGACAGCTGACCTCTGTTTGGAGGTATACAGTATGACAGGTGACCTCTGTATGGAGGTATAAAGTATGAGGGGTGACTTTTGTGTCGAGGTATATATAGATAGTTAGGCATTGTTGTATTGTATGATGCAAGGGAAATAACTCTAACTGACTTCACTGCAGTGAGTGTGATGGTCGAGAAAGGTGATCGGAGGAGTAAGTAAACTTTCCTCTAGATATTGTGATGTGTGAGGTAACTTAAAGAAGCTGACTGTTGCTAGTATGTTATTATTATAAAAAAAACAATGTTAATGCTACCCATGGCACTATTTTATTGGTGCATATAAGTTATAGTTTATTAGTGTAGAGTAATGACAGGATCGCGTCACCAGTTTTGACGGATGCTATCACGTGAACATGATTTCAGAGGACGGGACACCAACACGTCCTCTTAAGTCAGACGTAGGCCCTATATATCCACTGAACTCGGACACGTCGTACGCAGTGGTGAAGACTAGATCTAGGTCATGATTTCCTAATTAATATATAATACCATAGTCTCATAGAAAAAGGCACATCAGCATTCACTGACACAGTGAACACAGGCATCTGGTATGTAAATATGTTAAACTATAAAATAGTCTGCCTACCCTACTATATTGATATACCAGATACAGGTGCCTGTGCTGAAAGTAAGAGAAATGTATTTGTTTAGGTGTTCACTCAGTACTGCAGGGCTTCATATATTTTTTTATAGAAATATTTTATCTTAGGTTTAATTTGATAACTAACCATTCCCCACATAATGTGTTACAGTGGTCTGTCTTAATAAAAGCGTACACAGCTGACAAGTTTGCCAATTTGTTTCAATAAAACACTGATTACAGTATACAATTGTTTCATGGCTATTTGGGGAACAGTCAAAACTATCATCCCGAGGCAGGGGGAAACCCTGGGGAACTGTTTGCCCGAGGCCGCTAGGCCAAGGGCAAAAAGTTCCACAGGGCTTCCCCCTACCGAGGGATGATAGTTTTGACTGTTCCCCAAATAACCATGAAACAATTGTTTTATTACCAAATAAATATTAGTATCAATGCTGCATGCAATGTTGCCATTGCTTCAACACTGAGTCGCGGTCACCGAAACGCTTGAAGGGGGCTCTTGAGGGGGGATTTCTGCGCATCGAATTCGCGCCGGGTAACAGTTCGCTCTGACCGGGAAAACAGTTTTGACTGTTTCACCCCTACAGCCGAAATTGGACAAAAAGCCAGAAACAGTCAAAAATTACTAATTATAATTTATATAGACTATTGGGTAATAATACAAATTGTTAAGATAAATAGGTGGTTTGGTTTATTAAGTCACAAGCAAATTGGAAAACTTATTTTAAATAGTTTAGTTTCGAAATGTAGTAAGGTGAAACAAATCGGTGAAACAGGAGAAGGGAAATGCAAGGGGATCAGACTTTGATTCGAACCCGAAACCTCCAAACCCTCGACGGATGCTCTAACCAAATGAGCTTAACCTGGTCAACAGCAGTTATTAATGGTCCAGCCCAAGTAACACACCACCTTCCAATTTTCTAAGACTTTGGTCCCCAAGAAGCACTGTATGCAACCCAGACTTGGGTATCCCCTATTCCTTATAATTTAACCTACATGTGAGAGGCCCCTGATCGGCCTTTTTTCTATGGGATATGATTTTGCCGACTGGGACCACGGCGCCTGTCAAAAGTATCTCGCCGTGTAAACCTCTAACACTGTTGGAGTTGAGGGTATATATCCCCTTGCCATGTGAACACAACAGTACTTGAACATGGGTCAAACTTACTGCAGAGGCTATGCTCACTTATGCTCTCTGCACCCCTGGAATATGTCATAGCAAAATTAAAGGCACAAAGATATATATTTGATTGGTCTTAAGTAGAAAAAACACTGACCAGTCACCAGTGGCTAGGCTGATACCTGTCCTTAAAAGATTACAGAGGCAACACCCAACTTCAAAGCAAGTCAATTTTATTGTTACACAGACTGCAAGATTCTTTTGATGTACTTCAAAGGATCTAACTAGTGTTGTTTCCTCCACAAGGTGGCACACACTTTTATGATGAATAAAGTTTCAAGGACAAAAGGGTTCACATCTATCTCTACAAAATAGCGATGATACATTAACACTAAATGCCGAGCTGCTTTAACAAAATTATATTAAATGGTGTTTACATTATTTGGACAGACATAAAAATACCAAAGTTGAACAAGATTAGTGAAAGCAGACAGAAACAGAAAGTACAATTTGCAATTAAAATGACAAGTAGTCTAATAGCATTGTAATTGTATGAATATAACCTGTATCATCTTATTTAATTTGAGCTTAAGTGACTGAATCTGTATATGTTTTAAAACCCATTCAGCTGATGTTGATGATTTTTACACTCTTATGAGTCATACTCTAAATATAGCTCTTAATTTATTTCAGAAGACAAGACCATGCAAGAAAAAGGAAGCCCACCCCCTACTTCGGATTTCACAATCCTCTCCAGTAATGACCGTTTCTCCGATAGATGTAAGGATGTGTTTAGCTGTCTACAGTCTCTAGAGGACAAACATGTCGCTTCTGTTGATAATGAAGGCGATGTACAGCTGTTGAAAGCTGACCCAACTTTTGAAGAAACTGAGACAATAACTCGCAAGTTTAAGAAACCAAACCTTCCTGGAAGTTCATTTAGTGGACAAGATCAGTCACAAAGTAAAGATCAAGGGAGAGGGCTAAAGAGGCCGTCCGCTGAACTGTACGCTCCCCCATGGCAGAAGATAGGAGATAACCCACAATCAGATAATAAATCAAGAAAGATTGATTCTGACTTTAAGTCTCCACCTCCGAGATTTCCAAACCGACACCAAAAGAAAGTCCCTGACTTTAAACTGAACCCCAGCAATTGGAAGAAATACACACTGGAGGATGTTTCCAGTGATGATATGAGTCAAGCTGCAAATACAAAGGCAGCCTTCGATTTCCTCGAAGAGAGGAGGAAGCTGAGGGAGGCTGCGGAGGGGATGGAGGAAGAGGTGAAGGCTGATGTGGAGGGCGGAGCGTGCTCACAAGGAGCTATCATGTTTAAAAGACCTACCAAAAAGGGAGACAATTTAAAACAAGATTCTGATTCCGCAAAAATTATATCATCTAGCAAAGTGTGTGATAATTTTGATAAAGACAGTGATGATGATGATTTAGAAGAGAAATCACTGGTTATAAAGCCCAATGTGACATTTAAATCTAAAAAAAGCAAAAGTCAGAGAAATATCAGAAAGAAAGAGACAGAAGAGGATGACTGAAGCATTTAAATAAAAATTGTTTGTACATATCTTGTGAAAACTTTTAAAAATGAAAAATAATCATCATTTAGATCTAAGAAAAGCAAAGGTCAGAGAAAATTAGTAAGAGAGGGAAGATGACAACTGAATAATTTAAAGAGAATTATTTGTACCAAGTACATGTATATATCTTGTAATTTTTTTTAAATTAAAGATGATCGTCATTCAGAAGTATAGTGTGGTTTTAACATTTGGTCCGATGACAATATGAAATATACAGAAAGAGAAAAGTATGTGTGCTTTAGTATCAAAGGCAGTTTCCAAAATGTAAATGTCTCCCTCTAGACTACTTTTCATTGAAGTACTTATGTGTTATGTCTGAATGATTAACCTTTTCACCACTGCAGACCATAATGGACTCATCCCGATAAATGCATGATAAAGTCAACTAAAGTTACCTAGGGGTGAAAGGGTTAAAAGATCATTTACAAAACATTCAAAGAGCTATGGCGGATAACTGCCCATATTTCCCTAAGCTGGTATTAAAGAAAACGGGGAAAAAAAATAATGAGTAAATATTTTTTAGTAGCGAAAAATGCATGAAATAGGCATCAAACGCATTGAATATGAATTTTCGAACTATTGTAATATTCAGTATTGTTAATATAACACAAATGTACTGCAAATATAGTCATCTTCACTATATCTATGAAAGTGATGGGGTTTCCCTGACTTAAAAAAATACTTTCAATACTTTCCCATCCGAGGACCAACTTTTGAATAAACTTTTTGATTCCGTGATGTAATATGCAAAAACAAATCACATGACGGAAAAGTGGTCCTCCTTTGGGAAAGTGCTCAAAATAATGATAAAGTTTCTCAAAACTACGACAGATGTTTCTTGGGTTAAAACAGTTTGTGTTTCTATATTTTGTCGATGTCCGATGTAGCTTAATGTGTAACCAGTTAGCTTGTGACCAGAAGAAGTGAACGGGGTAAGTTCGAATCAAAGTTCAAATACACTTTATTTTTTATTTTTAAATACTTAGGCAGGTGATCATTTCCCTTAAATACTGGTAAGTGAAAATAACCATTTTTCAAATCAACGGAACATTTGTAGCTTCAGACTATGGTGAGCTTATGCCATACCGCAGCGTCCGTCTGTCAACTTTTCCTTTAAAACGCTACTAGTCCTGAATGGCGAAGTAGATTTTGACTATATTTAGTCTGGAGCATCCTTAGGCCAAAGGAACTCAATTTTGTATAAATGGTGGGTGTGGCCCCCTGGCTCCCCAATAGGGAAAATAGAGGTAAAACCTTTAAAATCCTTCTTCTACCGTATGGATTAAGGGATTTTCTCCTAATTTAGTCTGGAGCATCCTTGGGCGGGGCTGAATATGGGAAATAGAGGTAAAACCTTCAGAATCATTCTCCTACCGTAGGGATTAAGGGATTTCATCCCAATTTGGTCTGGAGCATCCTTGGGCAAAAGGGACTAAATTTTGTATAAACAGTGAGTGTGGCCCCCCTGAGGGCTGAGGAGCGGGCCCAATAGGAGAAACAGCAAATTCTTAAAAATCCTTCTTCTGTAGGAATGAAAGGATTTTGTCAAATTTGGGATTAAGCACCCTTGGTAGAAGGGGAACCAATTTTGTATAAACGGTGGGTCTGACACACACACACACACACACCTTTGGCAGAGAGGCAGGGCCAAAGAGGAAAAATAGCTTTAAAATCCTTCTTCTGTAAGAATGAGAGGATTATGTCCATATTTGGTCTAAAGCATTCTTGAGTGAAGGGGACCTTATTTTGTATCAACGATGGGTCTGACCACCCTGGGGACAGAGGGGCGGGGCCAAATAGGGGAAACATAGCAAATTCTTAGAAATCCTTTTATTTTAGGAATGACAAGATTTTGTCCAATTGCATATAAATAACCCCTGACTAACCATGTAATACATGTACACTTTCAGTGACATCTGGCTATCATAACTTCAATTTTGCTAACATTTCCAGTCAAGCAATACAGGCTCTCTGGGCCTCTTGTTACATTGTACCTTAATGAATGTCAAGGTCAGTATCCTTATTGAAGTTTTGATGTCAAGGTTTTAGTTTTCATCTTCATTGAAGTCAAATGTCAAGGTTTATATCCTCATCTACAACTTGTTGAAGATCAAATGTCAAGGTTTTCCCCTCATCTGTTTGACTTTCTTTTTGAAGGTCAAATGTCAAGGTTAACCCCTCATCTGTTTCTTATTGAAGGTTTTCCCCTCATCTGTTTGACTTTATTTTTGAAGGTCAAATGTCAAGGTTAACCCCTCATCTGTTTCTTATTGAAGGTCACATGTCAAGGCTTTCCCCCTCATCTGTTTGACTTTTTTTTGAAGGTCAAATGTCAAGGTTAACCTGGCTTTTTTGAAGGTCAAATGTCAAGGTTAACCTGTCATCTGTTTGACTTTCTTTCTGAAAGTCAAATATCAAGGTTTCCCCCTCATCTATTTCTTCTTGAAAGTCAAATTAAAAGATTTCAAACATCATCTTTACCTTATTGAAGGTCAAATGTCAAGTTTCAATCCTCATCTTTATTAAGTTAAATGTCAAGTGGTCTATCTCCATAATCTAGCGAAAGTTAAATACCAAGAGGTATAGCTTAATCCTTGACCTAAATAAAGGTCAAATGTCAAAGTTTTATCCTATCTCATCTTATTGAAGTTAAAATGTCAATGTATCAAATTAAACCTCATCTCTACTTTATTGAGGGTAAATTTTCAAGGTTTTTGTCCTCACTTATACCCAATTGAAGGTCAAATGTCAAGGTTACTATCCTTATCTATACCTTATTGAAGGTCAAATATCAAGGTTTACATCCTCACTTGCACTCTTCTGAAGGGCAACTGGAAGGTTTCTATCATCATTTTGTCTATACCTTATTGAAAGTCAAATGTTTTAGGTTCTTCTCAAAAACATGTACTTTTTATGTCTATCATATTGACTGATGTCAAGGATTCTACCATATTGAATCTCAAAGGTACAGATTTCTTACTCAAATATGTAAATCATTCATCCATTGGTACATGTACTATGATCTATCTTATCGTTAAAGTATCAAGTTGATCCTTTTAATAATACTGAAAATCAAATGACAATTTTTTCTCCACTATTACACATTATCTTAAACAATTGTCAAGGTTGTACCATCAATTATGATAAATCTTACTTTAAGTCAAATGTCATAGTTTGAAAATAAGGATACAAGTACCTTATTGAGAGTCACACATCCATGTACACCTGTATTAGGTTTCATGAAAAGAATACAAGAAATGAAATTATTTTAGTATTTTTTATTTTATTATTTCAATTTATCATATACATATTGGCTCTTATCCTATATAATAGCCATAAGAATACCTGTACTTTCATATTGGACAATGAAGGGGTTTATTTAGCACAAATAAGGCACAGAAAATAAGCATTGCATGCTACCAACGTCTACACAGCCTCTTAAAGGAGGGAGGGAGGCAAACTAACACATCCTCCACTTACTGGAGGGAGTGAGGAGAACTAACACAACTTCCACTTTCTGGAGGGAGTGAAGCGAACTAACACAACAGCAGGGGAGGGCTACATGATACATGTATCTGTACTGGCCTTGTATTGGGGGCAATCACCATAGAAACAAGAACAAGTTGCAAAAAAAACATATAATTTTGATTTTGGATCTTTTGATATGTACATAGTACACAAAATAATAGTTATTTGTGGTATTGTGACAACAAAGGCCTACATTCTATTTGTACGATAATAGAGTACTGTAAGGTTTCCAATTTAATGTGATACATATACTTAAAGTACTTCGATCAAATGCACTGCTATAGAATGCCTGCATGTTCTCCGAAGAAAAAACACAGACTTTCTCTAATTCACGGAGCATTGATAGAAATACTAAATCAACTGTGATTTTTGTTTGTTATAAACTCCACAAATGTATAAATCACAATAAACAGAAACATAATGAATAAATATATATGTATAAATACATTATATGCAACCTGTCTGTTTTCATGGTGAGCGACAAATGAATGATTTCAACAGAAAAGTACTTATATTTACATTGATATACCCGTTAATCTTAGCACTGTTTTGGCCACGCCCCCTAGCAGTGTTGCCTTGACAACAGATGCACACTACAATTTAAACAGTCAAGTAATAATATAATAGACATACACATAATTTAGAGGTCAAGACTTGGGAATGACATTATCTCTGAACATTTCATTTAAAAATCATAAACCTGAATAATGCTAGAGATTGTATACAATAATTTCACTTCCTTTTCACTTCAAGATACCCTTCTTTGATATAATTTTTGTTCTGTAAGGTTTATTTTGATATTTTTACCGTATCAAACACTGGCTACCTGATATTTAAGTGCTAATATGTGAATTTCTCAAAATTATAGAATGTTAACATCAAAGACAAAATTCATGCACATTCTTTTCCCAAGACTTAGATTTTTTTGTGTAAAATAAATCATTCCATATTTCTGACAAGATCAACATTGTCATATATCTACTTCAAACTTAAACAAGTACATAACTCATCAGCACTTGTTTCTAATATCACAATCAATTAGGCTTTTTGTATATCAATAATATACACAACCATCTTTAAAATAATATTGTTTTGTTTAAAAATCAGCATGCAATAATTGATATAAAATAAAAATCTGAACAAATTAGATTTCCTCTCTCGAATTAAAATCTTTTCCATGCATGAAAGATTGAAGTGTAAAATCACTACGTTTAAAAGGAGCACTGATTTTTAGAAGTTTCTAAAACTTCTGTTGAAATTAAAACATTTACAAAGAAAGACCGGAAGTTCTACTTCTCGTTGTAAAACATTTAAATTAAACAAAATCACATCATGAGCTACTACCATGAAAATAACTTTCAAAACTTTTCTACAGTAAATAATTAAAGATACCCCTTAATTTTATGCATCACAGATGAGATGTACCCCTTTCTTTTTAGCTATGTAATTTTTATCAACAATGAACTTGTATAAAGATATACCGGTTTGTTTAAGCACTGTTTTGATCGATTCCGTGAAATTATACAAAATATCTAAAGATTTACACAACTGACTGTGGACACTTGAGTATCATTTACAAGGAATATTAATAATATCACAATTTTCCGCACTTATTTGATATTCAAATGTTCCAGAAAAGGAGAAACAGACAATCCGAGAGACATAAGACAAAACAATAATCAAAACATTTGTTTGGCTGACTTTGTGGGAACGGACAAAATGTGAATCTACGATAAAATGACAGCACCTCGCAAGTGTATTTCAACATGGCAGCTACTTACTCATTAACTTAAACAAACATGGATGAGGATTTGTTTAATGACGACAATCACGGAACTTAACAAATGGTCCTAGTTAAAAGAAGCAATAGCAGCACGGAGCAGCGTAGCCTGCCTAAGGACGTTGTGACCTAACCCCTGTCTCATGGTTTTGTGTGACTGATGCTGTATAAAGTCAATGTACACGTATTTCCTCAGTTCAGCAGCAGTTCTACGACAGTCTTTGTACATACAGTTATAAGTATACATGTGGACAATATATACACAAATACTCTCATATCTACAGACAACCTTTATTTGCCTGTAGGCCAAGAAAATCATTAAAGGAACACCAGCTTTGTTTAAAAAATAAACCAATTATCATATTGCAATTTTTTTTACAAAAATACAAAAACAAACAAAAACCTTTGTGAAAATAAATTTTCGAAATTGTTTTGGAAACTCTCCCCCATTTGATAAATATTCTCCTGTAAAAACAGCAGAGGTGTCGGAAATCAAATTTTATGTTAGATCAATTAAGTTGTTGCAGAGTACAAGAGAATCATTAATGCTGAATATTCATGAAAAAATATTTCTTGAGCCTACGGACAACAACATTATCACCCACATTCTATCTTCGTGGTCACTACAAAAATCATTTTCTGTACATCAACATAAATATATGACAACTCGCTTCTCTACAGGATTACGAAAAAATACACAAATTCTACCTGGCCAATGTACACCTTTAACGAGTCGATTAATAAACAGGCGAGGTCTAATCTCACCTGGTGATCGTACACAACATTCGCATAAGGATTTCATACTTTTTAAACAATAGCTACCCTTCCTTCTCCTACGTACCCCTCATACTACATTAGAATGGTCCGCATCTTCATTTGGTTTGTTTGTGTCTTACGTCTTATTAACAGCTACGGTCATTTAAGGACGTGCCAGGTTTTGGTGGTGGAGGAAAGCTGGAGTTCACGGAGAAAAAACCACCGACCTACGACCAGTACCTGGCGACTGCCCCACGTAGGCCTTGAACCCGTGACCCAGTTGTGGAGGGCTAGTGGTAGCAGAATGTCAGATGCCTTAACCACTTGCCCCCCGCATCTTTATAATCAACAGATGATTTAAGTAAAACCAGTGTACTGGCAGTGTTTTTTCTTGGGACTTTTTGGGGCCAAAAATTGGCCTGAATCCAAAAAGAAACTATTACATATGTATGCCTTATTCCAAAAATTTGCAGTTTACTCCAGAAAATGTCCTTCCCAATTGGTATATTTTTCTACCAAATGAGACAAAAAGGCCCCATCTCCAATAAATGAAAAGCAACCCTGACTGATAAACAGAAAGAGTTACCTTAGGTAATAAGTATAAACTATTAGTTAAACCTGCTTTTAGGTATATATATATTTAACAGATACATACTTATAAATATATGTAAAAACCTACTTTTCAGGTAAACAGAAAGACCTGCTTTCAGGTAATTATAAACACTGTAGTAGGACCATTAAGTTAAACAGAAGTAAAACCTGCTATCATGTTAATCTTAAATTTTTTGTATTAATTCAAATTTTGAGAACAAAGTATTTTAAAAAGTTAGATACTTTTAATAGAAATAGTTTAATTTAATTGATGAATTGCTCCCGATTCACAAGTATGGCACATTCTCAGAGTTCACTACAATCAAACTACCGGTAATAATTTCAAAGCAAATTCTTTAATTGGATATTTAACAAAATCTCTTGACAGAAATAGAAGATCCC